GGGGGGCGAACCTGGCGCCTGACGTAGGAACAGCTTTTGTACGAGGTAATGAGTCCTCTAAGAGGAACGAGGGTTAAAGGGCCCTAGGCTAGGCAGCGAAGTCAGCTGCCCGGGCGCAGAAGGGAGCCTTGGACCCGTACTGTGAGCTCACGTAGGTGTCACGGAGCACAAGTCAGACCACGGAATAGACCAGAATCCAATTACCGCGTTTTTTTCTTTTGTATGTGGTTAAATCTTCACGTTACTCCCGAATTCATTTTGATCTTAAGGCGCCATCGTAATACTCTGGGTAATCAAAGCTGTCCCTGCTTGAAGTTGGAAACAGGTTCTTTTTTCCGATATAACTCTTCGTGTCTGCTCCCCGCTTCAGGACAGCAATGATGACATTGAGGATGTGTCCCTCTTTGATGCAGATGATGATGTATCCAGGAGATCAAAAAAGTCAAAAATAAGGTCAGTGGCCATAGAGTTTCTAGGTGAGTTCTAGGCAGAAGCCTGAGGGAGGGAAGGGCTGCCACATTACATCAAAATATGTAATGGCAAACACCTTCTTTATTTGGCTAGAGGTAACGGAGAGTAACTTCTAGATAACTGAGAGTGCCAGCTCCAGAAGCTCAGCTGGAATTCGTAGACCTGCGCCTTCATGCCTCTGGGTGCCCGCACATGTAATCCGTGTTTCTCTCCCTGTGTGTAAGGGATCTACGCTGGCACAATGACTCTGTGTAACGGGAGGTTCTCGCCGCGTTGAGTGCTGGTTCTGGGCTAGTCCGTTATCTCTTCCCCAGTCTTCGTTCTCGAGTACGTTTGGTGCTGCCCTGCTGTCTGCCATGTCCTGGCGTGGCTGGTCCAGCCGCCTCCTTCCTCGTTCTGCCCAAACTCCTGCCACAGAGCAGTGTCCGTACACAGGTGCTGTGGTGACCCTGGCTCTGTACTGCACGTTTCTGACCTGGAAACTGCAGAAATCTGAAAGAAGGGCGGGTCTGCTGTGTTGAGAAATGTCGTCTTTCCTTCAGAGGTATTTCCTCTGTCAGAACCTTTTTTAATTTACCCCATAAAAACTGCCTCACGTTGAACACTAGGTAAAACTCCCCGTCCCCTTCCACCCCAAATTCTGTCTGCACGTGGGATATCACTGCATGTAGAATGTGTCTTCCTTACGATGAGCTTCTAGTCAGTTTATTTTCCACATTTTCAGCAGTCGTGGCACACTGGGTTCATGTTACGATGCTGATCCTTATCCTCCGAGTTGGCGGGAGATCGCCTTGGCAATGTCATTTCTCTGAAATTGCTTCAGTCTTGTCTGAAAGAGCTGTGACTGTACTGTGCTTCATTCCAGGCATCCAGTGGCATCATTTTTCCACTTATTCTTCCGAGTCAGTGCGATAGTTGTCTATCTGCTCTGTGAGCTCTTAACTAGCAGCTTTATTGCCTGCATGGTGACAATTATCCTCCTCTTGTCGTGTGACTTTTGGGCTGTAAAGGTAAGTTCCTCTTACGCTGTTTGTTATTTTTGTCTTACTATATAAGAATAATTGAAGAGAGTGATATTCACCTCACAAAAAAAGTAACTTCTTTGTGCCTTTCCAACAAAATGGTACCCAAGATACCCTCAAGGACTGTGACGTATTGCAAAGTGTTAATGAAATAATAACTCTTAAACCTCTGTGTACCTGACTTCCTTTTGAAAATCAAACGGAGCATATATATTAGACTTTCTTTTAAGGGAGCACAGGCATCGTTATCAGATCACTTTCGAATCACCAGAAATACGCCTCACTTTATATCGTTACAATAATTTGTGATTGTACTGGACGTACCAGAAAATAGATTGTTGTGGACATAGGAGCCATGTAATCTTGTTTTCCCAAATGTGAGGCAAATGAGCACCGTTGAAAATAGTAACCCCAACTTTGGCAAATGGCTTCTTCTAGCAGAAGATAGAAAGCTCGTTGCTTTTTTTCTATTTCAGAATGTCACAGGGCGACTGATGGTTGGCCTTCGCTGGTGGAACCAGGTGGATGATGATGGTAGAAGTCACTGGGTATTTGAAGCCAGGAAGGTAATTTTCTTTTTTTTTTTTTTTTCTTCTCTTTTAATTGTTTCTGTTTTATGAAACCCCTATTAATTGGAGGTTATGCTTGTGATGGTAGATTGCACGATGTAGACAGTTACTTCCAGCCACAGATCTGTAACCACAGGCTTGTTTCCTGTAGGCTGCTGAATGAGCTTTTTGGTTGTTGAATTATTTAAAAAGTCTCATGAGGTATTGGTCTGGCGTAATGTAAGTAACTTAAAAGTTCCACGTAAAATGCAGTAAATGTTCCCATGTCACGTCAGTAACCTACAAGTTTTCTGGTGTGGGCTTGGAACAGCTGACGTAAGCTTCTATCTCCTACAGAAAACTACTGGAAGTAGGAAGAAACGTATAGCATTCGTCATGGCTATTGCTTTGCCTTTGTGTTCACGACGGCTACTGCTACCGCTAGTATCCCATCTGTCAGGCACCTCACAACACGTCACGTATTTACCCTTTTGGCCCCTGTCTCTGGTCTCTGTTTGTATGGAGCTGATGGCGTGCAGGTCGGGAGTGAGGTTGAGATCGTTTCCTAGATCACGTGGGAGGTCTGCAGTGGTGTAGGGACTTGAGCCCAAACCTTTCTCCAGCTGAGTTTGCGCACTCACTACAGGCCCATTCTTTCTCAAAACCGTGCTAATTTAGAAAAGCTAGAACATACTTGGGGGAGGGGGGGGAAGGTAGCTGAACTGCTGGTGATGCTGTAGATTTACCCAGAAGTTGTTAAACCAGTCCAGATTTTTTAACTATTATAGGAAGAAGTGAGTGCTTGCTTGGGATCTTCTGCTCTGTAAAGACTTTATAAAATCAATAGTGTGGTGTGAATCAGACCTCTGCGCGTGTAAAAATTACCCTACTTTGATGCCTAAGAGTATCAATATTTAGTTCTGCCGGTGCTGGGAGTGGTGAAATTCTGGTTGTCTGTGCAGTGATTTGGAGGTAGAAAACATTACCCCTTTGGCTGTTTCTAAGCTTTGTAACTGAACCATGCGGTAAATGTCACGTTTCCCAAACTTAACCTTTTAGCCCCAAGCATTCCAAGAGGATGTGGTGCTGCTGCCTCCGCTGTTTCTGATAGAAAATTGACAGAAGGGTCCCTTAAATAGAAACATCTTCTGTTGCAGAAAGATCTTTACGTGATGTAGAAATTGATCTTGAAAGCACCCAGTACTGTTGTGTGGAGGCAAAAAACAGGGGCCTTGTAGATTCTGGACTGTTTTTAATGACAATGTGATCTATACAATGCAGCAGCCTGTTAATCTCCATTTCCTTTCTGTTTCTAGGTATCAGCGCAAGGGAGTAAAACCTCATCAGAAGCAGAGTCCCGAATTTTCTGGTTAGGTCTAATTACCTGTCCTATGATCTGGGTGATATTTGCTTTCAGCGCTCTCTTTTCCTTCAAAGTGAAATGGCTGGTGAGTTGACTCCCTTAACTCGGTAATAGACCTTGCACGTTACAAGTAAGGCGGTGTAAATTAGTGATTTTATTTTCCTGTCTCTTAGGCAGTGGTTGTGATGGGAGTGGTGCTTCAGGGAGCCAACCTTTATGGTTATATCAGGTGTAAAGTTGGCAGTAGAAAGAACTTGACAAGCATGGCGACTAACTATCTTGGAAAGCAGTTCTTGCGGCAGGTAAGATTTCCAGGGTTTTGGAAACCCTCCGGTCATATTTCTTGCTGTCCATAAACTTCCTTCCTGCCTAGGCATGAAAGGAAAGACTGAAAAAGTTGTTATTTAGAGTTCTGCAGTGGGACCCTTCACACCTTACGTCCTTGTGAATTTGAGCCCCCTTAGTTAAGTCACAAAGTAACTTGCCTGATTATTGGCATGAAGTTCCATTTGCAGTGACTCGTGAGCTCGTGTTATTTGCTGGTGCCATGGACAAGTGCCATAGGAGTTGCTGGAATGTGGCTGGTGTATTGGAAATAAGGAACGCGGTGAAAGTGGTCACAGAGTGAAATAGCTTTTGATAAACTCTGCTGCTCTTGGATAACGCATTGCTAAATTACTCCTTTCGTTGCACTGCTTCCTCTTCAGGTTGTGCTAGCCACAAAACCATGCATCTGGAGGGATGTTGCATTGGTCCTTGTGCTTCAATGCACAGCTGCAGCGTGCGTAGCGCTTAGCCGAAAGGGCTGCCACTGCCTTTTATATTCTTTCTCACTTCCAACCAGCTCTTCTCAACAGGTCCTTTTCGGCCCCAGCGCTGGGTTTTATCCTTCCGTAGGTCCCTGCAGCAGTAGGCACAACCGTCCCTTGTTCCACTTCTAGGCTGTCATTTAACTTCTGCTGTTACCGGGTTTCCTGGCTGTGGCTGGCTGTATTATGGAGGCGAGACTGGGGATGGGTGGTTTGGCTGCCACAGGTTCACAAATGTTTTCTGGAATTATTGTCATTAGTGTGAGCAGAAGCTGAAACGTTGATAAACCTTTCTTGGCAATCTGTGCTGGGATTGTCCCCTTCTGTAGCTCGATTCGCTTCTGAATGCTTTTACCACTGCGGTGGTTAACCAAAGGCCCAGACCAGTCTCAGAAATGGCAGAAATGAACGTCTTGCCCCAGAATCATGGCAGTGAGTCACATAGTTCTCCTGTACTCCTTTTCTTCTTGTCTTCTTTTGCGTTCTGCAGACTGTGGCTAAAGAGGACCAAGCTGCATCCTGAGTACGGTGGAAGCCTCAAGCCAGACCGGATTCACAGTAGTGAACAACAGAGAATGTTGCTCTGACCCATGAGATCTGGGAGCTGCATACGTGAGGTGTGAATTAAAAGAAGTAATTAAATTGTGTGAGACTTCAGGTTAACGCTCCTAGCAACTTATATTCGATTTTCCGCTAGCAGTTTGTGTTTAAGTCTTTTCTTCAGTTTGATGAATTAGAATTAATTTGCCTAAACTTTAAATGAAAAAATATCCTAGGTGGCTCTCATACAGGTTTAGAACTAGGGGATGAATTAAGAGAAAATTGCTTGACATCCTTCTTCAGAAAAACCATGCACAAGCCGAGCCTTCTGTTACCCAAGGACTCCCCCGACTCCTCCAGCAGTTGGTGCCTCAAATAGTTTCAGTTGTGGACATTGCTGCGTTTTGTTCTTGGAGGTCATTGCTGCTTCTGTTACGAAGTTTAGATAGCGCTCTTCTGGCTCCGCATCTCTCTCATTCTGTGATTTGAACGGCGCTGAGGTGGTTGCGGTGAAGGACATCTGAAGGAAATGTTGCTGTTGGCTTAGTGGGAAGATGCTGTGGTTTCCACGAGACTTCAATAAAGCGACTTCTGAGCAGCTCCGGTCTTTTATTTATCTGAAGCATTCTTGGAGGTCTCGGTAACATCTTAAACCCCTGGATTTATGGGAAGTCCCTCTTCTACCTGTAGGCCTGCGTCTGTCTGGAGAGCGTAGCAAGAGTAAAACCAGTTTACGAGGAAGGTTGCAGGCACGGTTTCAGAGACGGAGTGAATCTGAGAGCAGTCGTCGTCTGACTGACGCTGTTAAAGTGATGCCATCTGGCGTCGTGTCGGCGCCGCGCTGTAGCGTGCGTTTGGTGCCGCGGGTCGTCTTCTCTGGCCGGGAGGGTGTAGGGTGACGCGGTCTGCGGTTTCCTCACCAGCCCCTTGGCACAGGGTCGCAGGGAATGGGACCGACAGGGGTTTTCGTTTCTTGAATCCACGCAGTATGCTGTCCTTAAGCCGTGCTCCCCAAGGAGCCTGTGGGCTGGAAAAAAGCCTTTTGTAGGATCGTGAAACGTTGGCTGGCAGCGTTCACTTAGATGGCAGAAAGTGGCGTGTTTTGTGTGAAAAGCTGTACGAAAGGGATCAGTTCCTTCTTGTCATGTAATTCTGTTCAAGGCAGACTGTGCTTTCGCAGCGGCGGATATTGTAAACTTCAGATGAGGTATTTTAAATTAAGGATGTGGTTTCTTTTTGAATAATGGGTATTGTAAATTGTGGGATTGCATTAACATGATTTCTCTCCCTGTACTGTAGCAACACTTGGGAGCTGTACACTTGTTTAACTCTTTGGATTGATACCTTCCTTTTGTAAATATGTATTTATAAAATCTCGAAATTAAAATAATGCTTTGTTTAACCAGACCAGCTAGCCCTTCTATGATTCATGGCTGAGCTCTGTTTATACACTGTGTTCTTGCAACGTAGTTTTAACGGGGGTTACTTGTCAAGTTAGACGGTGCTGTTCAGCGAGCTCTGGCACAGTTCCTTTCACCCAGGGGTCTTGGACAGTTTTTCCCTGTGCAAACACTTTCTTCGTAAGCGTGCTGGAGCCGTTGCCATGCAGCGCTGAAGCAGTTGTCACTCTGTAGGGCTCGGCTGGAGTGGCTGAGGTGCTCCTTCCGGGGGCACCCGGAGGGCCCCTCTGCCCAGCTCCCTGGCTCGCTCCTGGCAGGTGGCAGCGTGCTACCGTAAATGCTCCTGCCACCACCTAGCGGGATCTTCTAGTCCCCATTTACATGGAAAGGATGATTTATTTCTAAGGAATGAATGTAAACGGGCAAAATTAAGTCAATCACTGAAGTAAAGGTGCTTCTGCAGCCACGCGGGGATGTGCGACTGCAGCGTCTGGCCCGTACGGCGCGATGGAATGGAAATCCTTTCTGCTCCAGTCCAACAAGGCCCCAGTTTGCCGCTGCCGTCGGAGGGACGGCACTGACTGGCACAGCTCCAGCCACGAGGTAGTTGTTTTAAAATGTGTTGAAAGTTTCGACTTAATGTTTATTCGCCTGCTGCCAAAGCTCCTCCCAAACTGCTGGAAAATAGAGTGTGCTTTTCTGGAAGTTGCAGTTTATTTAATCAAGGACAGAGGCATTTATTAGTACGTGCCTTTAAATATAGCCCTCTGGCTTATTTTAACCTTTTGGCAAACATTCAGTCTTTTGGCTTCTGAGAAGCTGGCATTTTATTGCCTTTCTCCACGGCGTGGATCAGAACCAAATTTCTTATCGCTTCTCCAGTTGGGCGTGAGACTCATTTGATTTTTACTCGCTGTCTGCTGGGGTTTCCTGTGAAGCGGGAAGTGGGAGTTGCCGCAGAATGGGGAAATTCTCTGAATGTGCTTTTTTCGACAAGCCTGGGGAATCCGGGCTTGAGCATTAGCTGTGTAATGGTGGCCCCACCTAAGACCTCCAGGCCTGGGTGGTGGCTGAACTTTCAGGGTTTACAGAAGCAGAAATACTCCAGGAGCAATAATAAAAAAAATACTATTTGCTCTGAAATAGCAAAGTACGCCTCGGGTGTTGCAAGCACAGCTGAAAGGTGGGCTTGAAATCATCCTCATGTTACAGGCAGAGCCATTTTGAGTCCTTGGAGCATAGTGGCTTGGGCCAGCAGGGAGCTTGCTCGCAGAGCTGGGGACAGAACGGGCCCTGGGGGACGTTTGCTGTCTGCTTTGGGGTGCGCGAGGCCCGATCCTTCCCGTGCGTCCTAGGGATGAGCTGCTCTGTTGCTCTTTGGCCTCAGCGGGGACCTCTCCCCTCCTGCTGCCGCAGACCAGCCTTGGTTTGTCCTCACCCACGGTGGCATTGCGCTGTGCAGCCAGCTGGGTGCTGGAGTCCCCGGGGAAGGCGCCTGATTACAGGGGCAGAAGCAGTGCTTTTTCTGGCCCTGTGCTTTAACGCGTTACCATGATGCATCGGGCTATTCTCAAAACGCAAAAGCGTTAGAGGCAGTTCTGCCCCGTCCGGTGCATCTCCCCTTCCCTCCGTGCTACCCCCCTGCCCTGGGGGAGAACCGCAGGGAGGGGCGAGGGAGGGATGCTGAGTGTGCTGGGGCAACCTGGCCCCGGGCACTTGGAGCCTGCCTGTCTTTTCCTCCACGAATTTCTTGGAAACTTGCCGGGCCTGGAGGGCTGCAGGGAAAGGTCTTGGCAGAGGCCACGGTCAGCCCTGCTCACACGGGACAGGACATCCCAGCTGGCATTTCCTAAACAAAAAGCTGCAGTGATTAATGGAGAGTGACCTTTGGGGAGACCAAAGGGAGCAGGGATGCGGGTGAGGAGGGTGGATGTTGTCCAGGACCCAGCGCCGCTTCCACGGCTCCTGGCAGGAAAGGATTTCTCGCTTCCCTCCTGCCTTTCCGTGCAAACAGCCCCAATTTGGGAGCAGGCATCCCTTCCCACCCTGCAAACCCATGGCAAACCAAGAGTCACCCCACGGCCCTGATAAGACAGGTGAAGGGTAGAGAGAAAGGAAACGCTATTTCTGTTTTACTGATAGCAGCATTTTTACACCACAGAGGACGCGTGGGCCCGTCATTATCTGCCTGTGTGTGCTGAAAGCAAACGGGGTGTGTTCAACGCCATTCCAGTTCCTACCCTCCCCGGTGCCACTGCGTGGCTCGGGGCAGCTGACGTCGGGGACACGCTGCGCTGGTTTCTGCCGCTCAGCCACAGGCTGCAGCGCTCGGCTGCTTGAATTTCACTTCTCTTTCTCAGGGGGAGGCATCGCCTTTGGGTACGGCTGGGGGGACCCGCCCCCCCCCC